AATTAAGAAACTAGTATTAAAATCTGTTGATTTTCAATATTTACAATTTCAAGAATAATCTTCCATCAAAAATTTTTATATTTATCATTTTATAACTGGAATGAATTTTTCATTTTTATAATGCATTGATATCAATATTTGCAATATGTGATTCAAAAAAATGAAATGTACGAAAATCATCTTAATATACATTACTACAGAAAATTTAAAAATATTTCATCATACTTCTGCTCCCAGATCTCTTACACCTTGTTCCGCTATTGGAACATATTTATCATCAATTTTAACAAGTAAAATAACTTTATCTACATGAGATCGTCGATTAGGATCACGATGATTTGGGGACCAACAATGAACAACGCATCCTTCCATACCTCTTTCAGGTACCCAATGCTGCCATCCAGATCTACCACCTTGTTGCCTCATTCTTTCATCTGGCCAAATTACATCTATGCGACGACCCAAATTAATAGCATCATATACTTGATTAGGATCTATAATCTAATAATGAAAAAATAAAATAATTTTTAATAAATTTTTAATAAAAAAGATATATATAATAATATATATTTTTTTATAAAATATATATATCTTATAAAATAAATTTTATTTTTTACTTACTCGTACTCGTTGTAAAACTTCGTCCTTTTCAAGTTTACTCGTGAAACTTGTTTCACTTTTACTTTCTGTTTTAATATCGCTGTTACTAAGAAGACCAGCTAAACTAGCAAGCGTCGAACTTGTTGGTTTTCCAACTGAAGCTAATGATCCTCTATTTCCACCTAAGGATCCAGTATTCGTTCTTCCTAAAGAACCACGTCCAGCTGATCCACCAATTTGACATCCAGAATCTATAGATTGCGAACCTGATGTGTTATGACCTGCTGATTGTCCATAACCTATATCAAAAATTTTATTTTTATATTGTAAAATAATGAAAATGATAAAAATAAATAAAAAAAAAATAATGATTATCGAGATATTATAAATACCTAAATGAATATTATATGTAGTCATTGCATATACTCCATCATTTCCAAAACCTCCATCATCTTGAGACCCTGTCCCTCCAGATGAACAACCTTGACCGCATCTTCTTCTGATTCTATAAATAAAAATCATAATGATGATAAACTTTACCATTTGCAATTTTTATTAATAATTTATAATTTATAATTACATGATATAATACTAAGGGGTACCTTTGCCACAGTTTTAAGACATTACTTTTAATTACACCAAGACTTAAAGGTCCACCAATTATGGAACATAATTGTTCATTAGTTTCTGCATAACTAGTTGTTAATGGTGAAACATAAATCGGATATCCAATCGGTTGATCGCAAGAACTATTTATTATGTTTCTAAGAGCTTGTTTAGCATTTTGTATAGAACCTCGCTCAGGATTTCTATTTCTCAAATAAACTAATTCTTGTTGTTGTCCAGCCCATAAACCACGAACACATTCACGATTCATTTTAATCACTCGAAAACTTAAAAAACGCTTGTTAAGCATTATAACTTTATATTCATCAATGCCATCATCAAGTACATGTCTAAAAATTAAAATAATAAGTAATAATTATTTTTTTAATTTAAATTTTAGAAATATTTAGATATAGGCTATCAAAATACCTAAGTGCCAAAAGGCTTGGTGCGCCATTTAAAACAGCATTTCTCCAAAGTGGATCTGCTTCATGACTAATTACAAGATTTTTATCATGACTATCTATAGCTTCATAAAGAGCAGACAGTTCACTATATTGCTCTGGACTCATAAAATGATCTTGATGTAATTTTAATGCCATTCTTACTCCTTTTGCTACGACACTTCGTAATAAATCAACATCATGTAATACCCATTCATCCCTAATTGATGTTATACGAAAATCTCCTAAATATGTAAATTTACATTTTTCAAATATTTTTAAATTTTAAAAAATCAATTTTTTTCGTTATTTATTAATAATTTATTAATGAAATGATATGATGAATATACCTTTAAAAAGAGCATGTAAACCATATAAAAAAAATTCAACACTGGAAACAGTGTTATGAGATAGTGCTCCCAAAACGCGTCTTCCCAAGAGACTTAAAGCAAGACATAAAGATACCAATGATGAATTTCTTGATTTATCTAATGTCTAAAACAGGTATTAATAAATTAATGCTATATAAATATTAATATAATTTACATATATTTGAAAATTTACCTTATCTTGTTTAGTAACACAATACTGTATCCAATCCAAATAAACATTGCAAAAACTATTTCTTGTAATGCCACACGTTCGGATATCATAATCTTCGTGAATACTCAAATTAAAAACAGGATCCAGGTCAACGAAGTTTTTATCAAGTGTTATTTTTAGGGCATCAGAAATATCGGAATTCTCTAACCAATATTTCAATTTTGGTGATTTTACAGCATAGAAAACAATACTTTTGACATAGTAAGTAACTAGTACTTTACGAAACTCAAACACTTGAAGCATAGAAACTGCTGAATTATCTGAAATTGAGTATCCTTCCAAAACGTACTTA